AGACAAAGAAAACACAAAATCCCACAGGCTTTTTAACTGAAGTGGAATAAAGGAAAGAGAGCACAAAAACAGGGGCAATAACTATATCTGGTGAGAAAGAAAGGTGCCGTCATTTAACTAGCGCAACATTGAGGTGTGGCCCCTCATCTCTGGCATTCAGAAAGAGCCGGAAGGGGTGCGGGGAGCTTCGGAGCTGCATCAGCGCTAGATGCACGGCAGACAGTGGAAACCGGACCACATCCCTGGCAGGACATGTTGTCTCATGAGTGCAGCGCAGGCTAACTGCCTTGCTGGGTCCTGTGTCAGGGCTCGCTGCACAGCTGTTCCCCGCAGTTACACCTGACAGTACGGACGTGTATGAGCATGCCTCATTTTCTGGCATGTGGAAGTAAACAGACATTCAAAGCGTTCGCTGAGTGAAAGCCTTATTATTCTGACACAGAATCAGGCACGTGTCGTCAAATCCAACAAGAGTTACCCAGTGAAACTTAGGTTAAAGAGCACCCCCTACCCCCCCAGCACAACGAGATACATCTGGCACATGTCAATTAGAGATTGACGCTCAGGCGTACCCGCTCAATACGTTAAATTATTTCCAAATACCTAATCTCCTTCTCACAGGTCTTTTGTTTTTAGTTTTCATCCGTCTTGTTTCATTACCATTAAGCAGCTTAGCAGATCTTAATTTACGGAGTGTTTATGTGTGTTAAACGATTGAATGACCTTTGACCCTGACACCCACCACTTTGACAGGAAGTGTCATTCTTTTGACAAGACGAGATGCATGGATCACACGGCCATTGAGAGGTCTTACTACTCACTGAGACACAGAACACAGATGCAAAATGATTTCACTGAAATCTGTTGTATCTCCATACTGGATGTTCTGTATGCCAACGGTCCACTCCAACAGGCGGGTGGGCAGTGGGCATTGGCACTCCAGGGTGAGTGCTAGACCGCGGCCCCCAGAACGTTCTACTGTAACTTTCAGGGCCCAACCCTCGTATAGAGATTACAGGGAGTTTCTGCTTCAGCAAAGACAAAGTAATTACTGTTCTTACCAACCTGCCACACATTTTGCCATTTCACCCCATTGGAACTTTCTAGAACAATCCCTTCAACATCATGGGTCTCTGATTAAAAGATCTGAGGTCTTGGCCCCTAGACCCGCTTTCCCTCCAGCATGACCTGGCTGGGACCTTGACTGCAGGTGACCTTTGAAGGGGAAATACTACCCCAATGATCAGGTCTGTATGGGAACAAGAGCCGGGATGTTTTTCCTCATAAAATTAGGCTTGACAGAGATGTCCTTCACAGCTGGTCTGAGCTGCATTTTTCAATAGAAGTGCTACAAAAACACAGACAATTACTTTCTGGTGAGCAAAACCGCACAGAGACCAGGCAAATACCACACAGCAGGGTGTCCATGCACAGACCGTTCAAAGATCACACAGAGACTATGCAGAAACTGCACAGAGACTAGGCACAGACCACACACAGACCACACAGAGATTGTGCATGGACCATGCAGAGATCACTTGGAGACCACACAGATGGTGTGAAGACCACACACAGACCACATAGAAACCCCTCAGAGACTGTGCAGACACCATGTACAGGTCATTCAGATAAGGTGCAAGACCACTCAGGGCGCTTTTCCACCACACAAACCACGGTACTTTCGGTACTTTCGCTTTTCCATTGACTTCCGGTCGAGTACCGGTACCAAAAGTTCCAGTACCGAAAGTGCCAAACCAGCTGGGGTACTTCTTTGGTACTTCGGGGTGGGACTTGCAAAAGTATTTGCTATCGATTGGTTATGCAAATAGCCTGTCGCTGAAATACAAAATACAACCGCCATCTTTTGAAACACACAGCAAACAGCGAGAAACAAAATAAGAAGCAGTAGAAACAAAAATATAAAAAAGTAAAATTGAAGGACCATATGGCTTTAATCGCCATATGGTCGGATGAACAGATCCAGCGGGATTTGAATGGCACGACTCGAAATAAAAAAGTTTTTGCCGTTCCGGGCAATTCAGTTTCCCTGTTTCCTCTGTCGCACGCTGATTTGTACACGGTTTCGCTGTTGTTTTCATGTCATTTTATGAAGCTCTTGAGGTAAACAAGCCATATATTTTAAAACATCATATGCCTTTTCAATGTTTTTTTGTTTTTACAGATAATAAATGAAATTTAATTCGCTGGATAGATATATTTCTTGATGAAATATATATGGTATAGTATTGCTTATAACACTATATTATGCGTGACGATCTACTGTATTCACCTGTAATAATGTACCTGAGTAATTTTCAGACATCTCACATACATCTTTGCCTAAATATTAGGAGAAACATTATTTCCTGACATACAGGATATTTGGTCCCCCCTGTTAAAACAGGTATACAGCAACTCTGGGCCTCGGTACTAATAACGATACTGTATTCACATGTAATAACATACCTGAGTGATTTTCAGACATTTCACATACCTCTTTGCTTTAATATTATGGGAAACATTATTTCCTAATAGACAGGAGAAACATAAAGGGAAACTGAATTGCTCGGAACACCGTAATACCAAGCCGCTTGGAAGAAATGGGGCACACGCAAAACACCAAACAATGCCGCTTGAAAATCAAAAAACATAATTAAATAATTTGTTTGCTTTCAAAAGACTGAATTAGCAGTAAGATAATTCTTACTGCTTTGATCGGCTTAGCTAAAGTAAGTGTACCTACGTAAACGTAAATGATGTCAGCATTCATGCAATTTGGATATTACTGAATCTTATACTGTGATAGAAGCTGACATAACATGACATAACAATAAACCGCATTTTCCAGCCTAAACTATTATTAGTTTTAATTTTGGCCTGTTTTTTTTTTTTAATTATGATTTAAGCTGCGCTTTGTGACGATTTCAGTCAGGGGTGGTCACTGATGATGTCATTTGGCGCCGGTACCATTTTTTACGCCAGTGGAAAACCCACACGAAAGAAGTACCATACTTTCGGTACTATATGGAAGTACCGAAAGTACGGTACCTGGTGCGGTGGAAAAACGCCCTCAGAGACCAGACAGAGACCACACACAGACCACTCAGACACCATACAAAGACCATGCACAGACTGCACAGAGATCACTCATGAGACTGTACAGAAACAACTCGGAGACTATACAGAGATCACACACAGACCACGGAGGGACCACTCAGAAATCGTACATAGACCACCCACAGACCAAACAGAGACCACTCAGACACAATAGAGAGACCACACACAGACTGCACAGAGACCATACACAGACTATGGAGAGACCACTCAGACACCATGCACAGACCACACAGAGACCACTCATATACCATACAGAGACCACGTACAGGTCATATAGAGATCACTCAGAGACCATACAAAGACCACGCACAAACACACTCAGAGACCGGGCATAGACTACCAGCACATTTGATGATGATAGACAGAACATGCTGTCCATGATGTCATTCAAATTCCCAGAACTCCACAAGTGAAAATTCACAAGGGAAAATCCCCCAGCGAATGAAAGCCACCTGCTGTGTAACTCAGCAAACTGGAAGCCCTGACCTTAAGGAGTGTTGCCAAGCCGCAGGTTTAATGAGAGAAAACCATCCATGGTTGGCACTGCCCCCCCCCCCACAATTCCCTGATGCTAACTGGCCCTAGAGCTTGTTTATTCTGTGCTATGGCATGAGCATTGAGCCATACATGGTGTCCACATGTAACATGTGTCTGACCCTCCCCAGCACAAAGCTCCTCCCCACCAAAGGCACAGCACAGCATCAGCCTCAGCCTGCCCCCACTGCAGCATGACGCACGTATGCCAAACACAGAATCTGCCATAGTGGGACACTAAAACTCACTGTGTACTAGTAGTAGTAATTAGAAGAAGGGCGGCAGTGAGCAGCACTACATTCACTTGTTTCTGTAATTAGCACAGGGCCGGGTCTCCCAAACACTCCTCCACAGTAAACATCCACACATACAATTCAGAGTTTAATATAGCTGCCTCCGGAGATGCAAAATCATTCATAACCAGCAAGTCAATGCTCTTTAGTCATCTCTATGTGGACTGCCTGTGACAACCGGCATTTACACGTATGTGCTCAGAGCCCTGGTATTAAACAACAGGGCAGACTGAAGAAAGAGAGGCCTTCACTGCTTGGTCATGCAGCTCCTGTAGATCCAGAGGCTGGCCTGTTTCCCACAGAGCCTCAGCTTCAGTGTGTCAATTCCATTCCTCCCATAGAAGCCTGATTTAGTGGCCATGGAAGCAACAGGCTGGATGAATTCAGCGCCTGGATTAAGTGTTGCTCAGAGGCCTTGTGTTGGTACACAGTGTCACATCATGCAGTGACTAAAGAAGCAGCACCAATGCGGAGCCGAGGACCCAGGGCCCCTCTTTCAATGTTGCTCCCATTCTTAGGTCTCAAGTTACTGCTGATGCCGGACGAGCTGTGCGCCCCCCACGGCTCCGGGCGAGCACATAAACACAGCATGCCGTCTGCCTGCCCCACGCTCGTGGGTCAAGCAAAGGTCATAAGACCTAACTCCCCGCCCATGAAACAGGGTTCAGATGCTCGCAAGTGGCACTAACTGCTGCCATTAGCCTAGAACGTTCTGGCAAAAATCAGGAATCACAGCGGTAAATGATGCCCCTGACAAGCCATGCATGGGCTGATTCCATCAGCGTGCGTCAGACGGGAAAAGAGCGTCAGCAATTGGTGACTCAGCCCTGAGGTCCCCTGAGGCGGGGCTTGGGGGAACAGAGTGTTTGCTGAAACATCCCCACGGTAACAGGGCAACCCTCCTCCAAGCTTCTGTAAAGAAGCCCCAGTTTACGCAGGTTTGGAGATAGCACCTTCCTCTAACATCACACGCCAGGGTGATGTGACAGGCTGGAATGCCCCCCAGCCACCCCATCAAGCCGGCTTCCGACACACATGCTAGCCTCCTATTAGCACTCCCTCTGGCTCCCCCCGCTGGTAGTGGCGGCGGTGGCGGCGGGCAGACCTTCTGCCGGAGGAGCTTGCTGCGCACGCGGCCCCACAGCTTGGCCCCGGTGTTGAGGGGGCGCTTGCTGGGGGGGTCAGCCAGGCCAGTCTCCACGCAGCAGCGATCCAGGCACTCACACACCGAGCTCAGGCTGCGGTCAGACACCAGCACCTCCGTCATCCTTCCGAGGGGTCCAGAGGGCCGACTGGGGGCGGGGAGGTTAAAGACCCACACCCCCGGGATGGGGGGGGCAAATAGGATAGAAGTGGTGGGGTCGACCAAAACTCCCCTAAATCTGTTCCCGGAGCTCAAAGATCCAGCGTTTGTCGTTCAGTTGAATTCCAAAAAAAGGAGAAGTGAAGGAGGAGAGGATGGCAGAGGCACCCCTGTGTGGCCCCTACATCCACCGAGTCACAGCAGGGAGGGCAGGGAGGCTCCAGGAGAGACACCGGCAGCGTAGAAGGAGCACCGAAGTGTGTGGAGGCTCCACTGGCTGAGAGCAGAAACCCAAGGCTGGATCCCTCAGCGTCTCCGACTCATTCCACAGTGAACTGCCAGCCTCTGCAGACTCCTCAGCCGAATGCCAGGAACATGAGCGGCACAGAGCGAGGGAGGGAGGGAGGAGAGAGGGAGGGAGGTGTGTGGAAGTGAGAGAGACAGATGAGAGAGAGGTATGTGTGCGTGAGTAAGAGAGGGAGTGGGGGTTGCTGTCGTCAGCCCCTGGGCCTCATGAGTCTGCAGATGTGAGCAGAGCAGAGAGAGAGAGGGGGGGGTGGGGGGAGAGAGAGAGAGAGAGAGAGAGAGAGAGAGCGGGAGAAAGAGCAAGAGAGAGAGAGAGATCCTCCAGTCCCTAATGGCAAACTCTCAGCACAGTCTGTTCCCACAACCAGCTGCTGAACGAGGGAGTGGGGAGCAGGGGAAGAGAGAGAGAGCGAGAGAGAGAGAAGCACTATGATGGGACCTCAACGGTACCATTCCAGCTGGCAGGAGATAAGAGACACCCATCCCAACCCCCCTAGCCCCACAGTACATGAAAGCCATTACGTTCCATCATCAGAGGGGGTCCCCAACGTCACCACAGCAGCCCACGTTCGCTCCCGCAGTCACTCCCATGCCATCCTGGGGACATGCCGATGGGCATGCATGTTGACCCTGCCTGGATAGAGCATGTCCATCACACTGCCTACACTCCGGGAGCTCCCTTGAGGTCATTGAGCAGAGCAACAGAGCGGGAGGTGCTCTTCTAAAAGCTGTAAAACTGAGATGATCCGAAACACCAACAAAAGACAGGGGATTGTTTTTTCACGTTTATAGTGAATAAGGCCCTTTGTTTACTGCCATGTGATAAACATGCACCATGTTCAGGCATGTGTACGAGGTGTTCCCTGGAGGGAGGACAGCACTTCCTGTGAGGTACGAAGTGCTCCCTGTAGAGGTCAGCACTACCTGTGAGCTAAGAGGTGCTCCCTAGAGAAAGGTCAGCTTTTCTTGAGAGCTACGAGGTACTCCCTGGAGGGAGATCAGCACTTCCTGTGAGCTATGAGGTGCTCCCTAGAGAAAGGTCAGCTTTTCTTGAGAGCTACGAGCAGGGGCGGATTAACGCACAGGCTAGATATGGCTTAAGCCTAGGGGCCCCACGTGTGCCTGCCTGCAAGGGGGCCCCCATTGGCGCGGAGGGGGGCGGGGTTGGGGGGCCCACAGACTACTGTAGCCTAGGGGCCTCTGTGCACCTTAATCCGCCCCTGGCTACGAGGTACCCCCGGAGGAAGGTCAGCACTTCCTGTGAGCTACGAGGTACTCCCTGGAGGGAGATCAGCACTTCCTGTGAACTATGAAGGCCCTATGAAGAGTCAAGCTGGAGAACATGTGTGTTATTCACTGGCACTTGTTCATACACACTGAAAGACCAAATCTTGGCAGGAGCAGCTGCAAGACCCTCAGACAGATGCATGGGGGTCTCTTCTAAATATACCAAAGCCACAGATATACAAAAGCAAAAACATGAGCCTTTGTTCGAGAGGTGTTTTGGGAGGCCTGTGGCCATGACAGAGGTACATAAATCCTTAAGGTACATAAATACTGCCAGGTTCTATAATCTGAATGTACATGATTTAATCAACAAAACCCAAGCTCGGGATACAGATACCCACATTGCAGCCAATCTACAAATATATAATATAGTTTCTGGGTTGAATCACTGCAGGGGTGCTGGCTTTATCCCCTTTCTGTAGATACCAGCCATAATGTTCACCAATATATTAAGGATTATTTCCATCTCTCAATAAATGTTCTAAGATTAGCAGTGCCATGAACTTGGCATAACCCTTTGTCTCTCAATCAGAGTCAGGAGTCACCCACTTTGTAGTGGAATCTCACAAATTCACCGATCTCGGCTTTGGGGTAACGGTGCTCCATCACCATGCAGACGTCGTTTGGAGTATCGCTGATGCTCCAGGAGAACATACTTCAAGCTACAGCTCATCACTCAGATTTACACAGCTAAAATAATCTGATGCAATATGTACCTGAGCACTGGCAACGATTTGAAGCCTTGTGGATTTTCAGAACAGAGATGCTACTGTATGGATTTGAATACTTTATTCAGGTCTCTAATAGTATACCTGGAAACAACCCAGAAGCTCGATTTCGAAGTCTTTGTTCTATGGAATTCCATCCAGGATTTCAGGAGATTCTGGTCTCATCGCACCCCTGAAACACAGACTGGCTGAAGCTCACTGGTGAATAACGTGGTGCAAAATGCCCCTGTTTGCCTCAACCTGCCCTCAAAATCAAAAGCATGTGGTGGGGATAACCACACATGGGGTCACATCTGCAAAGACCTATGACCCAGGCATGGGGTAGATTCAATGACACACTTCTTACTCTCTTTTTCGGGCCATCTGCCTTGGCGCTCAGCTCAGCCCAAGGTTGCCTCATCTGGTTAAAAGTGGCCGCTTCCACATATCGGAGCATTTTAACAGATAAACATCCTGACAGAGAATGTGGACTAAAACCAAAGAAAACAGACGAAGGAACCTGCTTTATGTACAGGACATAGGGAGAATCACGCGATGGAGGTTAAGGTACAGTATGGGACATATGGAGAATCACGCAAGGGCAGTTAAGGTACGGGACATATGGAGAATCACGCAAGGGCAGTTAAGGTGCGGGACATAGGGATAATCACGCAAGGGCAGTTAAGGTGCGGGACATAGGGATAATCACATGAGGGCGGTTAACGTATGGGACATATGGAGAATCACAAGAGCTTGCTAAGAGGATCTGCGTTGCGGTGCCATCATCTGTGTGTGTGCACTGCAATGGTGACTCTCCAGATAATCAAATTCAAATTCGAAAAAGTTTATGCCTTTTAAATTGCCCCTCGGGGACAAATAGAGGAGTTCTCAAACTCATTAGAACTCGAATTTCTTACAAGTCGAACCAGCCAGTTCGAAAAAAAAAGATACCTAGAACTTGATTTGAATCTCAGAAGTCAAACCGTGAATGCCAACCTAAGATAACTTGTATACGCGGGGAAATTAGTCACGCAGCACATCTCTCAGCGGAAACAGTCTCAGCCTCGCATTCGCTGTGATAGCATCCTGCATGTTTACACTAGCTGAATACATATATTTAGACAGTAGAAATACATTTAGACAATGATAGACAGTAACAGTAATTATTATTATATAATAAAAAACATTTAAAAATAAAGATTTCTTATTAATTATTTTAATATTAATAATAAGCCATTAATACATTTAATTGTAATAAGCGGGGACGGAATGGAGACAAAGACACAGACGTCAGGGTATCGGGGAATACGGGGTTTAATTACAGGTAAGGCAGGCAAAACGCAGACGGACATTACAATGACCGGGCTGGGGAAATAAACTGAAATGTGGACTAAATACAGAGGACTAATGACAACAACCAGAAACAGCTGATCACACGGGGATTCCACACGGGGTTAATGAGGGGGCGTGACACGGAAGAAGCGGACGATCGGGGCAGGACACATTGTTTTTTTTTTGTTTTTTTTTTACTTTACACATTGTTTGGATACATTTATTTTCTTACTTTACAAATTACTGTTTTGATAAATGTGCTTAGATGTGTTTAGTACAGTATATGCTCTTCTTGTTTTATCCGATTCATTTTGTGTTTAAATGCTAAAAAAAAAAAAAAAACATATTTAGATGTAATTTTTTGGGGCCGGGAATTTGATCACAACTCGAACTTTTTAGGATTCGATCTGGAGTTCTGAACGGATTAAATTCGAGTTCTGAGGTACCACTGTATATTATGTGTATTGCACAATGAACTATGAACAATTTAAATACAGAGGCAATAAGGTGCATGATGTTGAAAGTGAAAAAATGAGAAATGAGAAGTGAGAGAGACTCAGATCTGAAGAGGTCTGGATTGTAGGGGGAGGGGGAGGTGGGAGTGTGAGAGGTGATAATGGTGGATTTGGGGGGGGTGTCAGGAGTTCAAAAGAAGGACAGCTTTAGGAACAAAGGTGGCCCTACTCCTCTGTGTCCTGCAACTGGGACATCAGAGCCGGCGTTTGGAGGGGAGCCACTCAAAGGCAGAGTTCAGCGGGTGTGAAAGGTCTTTAATGATTTTGAGTGCTGTGTGTCTGCTGTGTGAAGGGGTTATTCTTGGCCTAGTGTTTACATAATCAGGTTACTCATTGGAGCATTTCGGTGAAATGGCCACTTGAAGTAATAAAAATACATAGTAACTATGGTGACCAGTCTCTTCCTGTTGCGCTCATTTGGGAAATCGTGTTGCCTCCAATGCGAGATTAACAACCAGGCAAGCTTTCAGTTGTATGGCACCGCTTCAGACCAACTCAGTCTTCCGTGCTAAAATAATAATAATTACAAAATAACAAAAACTCAATAAGCAGTAACCAAACAGCCAGGACAGAAACCTCACAGATTCTTGAGTAAGATTACAGGAGGTGCTCCAGATCAGTGCATAAAATTTTGCAGAGGTATTCAGCAGTTTCCGCCGACAAACTTCTAAAAAGGAGCTTTGCTGCATTAAATCATTCAATAAATTAAATTTAAAAATGACTATTTTGCGTGGCTAGACCACGGCACCTACAGAATCTGGCTCAAGGGTGAAGCTGCATCCAGCCTCGGGGCTCCTTACACTCATGGGCAGAATACAGAGGTTACAAGCATGCTTTCTCCACAGCGGGAATGAAAGAAAGGGGGAAGTTTGCTATATCGACGATCTTGTATTAGGTTACAGTCAGCAGAGTTTGTACTGTTTGTACTTCAGGAGCGTTTATAAAGCATACAGACCAACTTTTGGGGCTATTATCCTTTAATCTTTTTGGGTAAACATCTACGAATAATCAGAGTGGTACAATGTCAGAGTGAACTAAAACAAAATCTAACACTGCACAATTAAACACCCGCACACACACACACACACACACACACACACATTAATTACACTTGTGTTTGTTACAGACCAGGATAATTCAACTGCAGCCTGCAGAGCACAAACAAACAAATCAGCTATATGTTACACTGATCTCTTTTGTCACAAATGAGGAAAGTTAAAAAGAGCAGAATCCAGGCTTGATTTGCCCATCAGCATCAAGCAGCTAACATCCAGATTGTGAATTAACTCCTAATGGACTCCGTATGC